TTTTTTTACAACTGCACTAAAGGGATTAGCCTACATGGGAATGGCTGAAGCCAGTACAAATGAAGCTCTCCAAGTGCGGCATGAGCAATACATAAAACTAACATCGGTGATTCGCTATCATTGCATCATGGAGCGTTGGCACAACAAGCTGGCTGTTGTTACCGGTGCCAGTGGTGGCATTGGAGCTGCCTGTGCTCGCGCTATGATTGGCGCTGGTTTGCGTGTCGTCGGGCTGGCTAGACGCGAGGCGAAATTGAAGGAGCTTAAGGAGAGTCTACCTAGAGACTTGCAAAAAAACTTTATACCACGACATTGCGACATATCCAAAGAGGAGCAGGTGCAGAGCACATTCGACTGGATCGAACGTGAGCTGGAAGGTGCGGATGTACTCTTAAACAATGCGGGCATAACTCGCGAAACGGAGCTGGTGACGCCGGGCAATACGAAAAAGCTGCAAGAGGTCATCGATACAAATGTCATGGGCGTTATTTGGTGTACGCGGGCAGCCTTCAATAACATGCTGAAGCGCGATGTGGAAGGACATGTGGTGATCATCAACAGCATTGCGGGTCAGCAGGTGTTGAATTTCATTGATGTATTGCCATCGTTCAACATCTATCCAGCCACAAAATTTGCGATCACAGCTCTGACGGAAACATATCGTCAGGAATTTCAGCTGCACAAGAGCAAAGTACGAGTGACGGGGATTTGCCCTGGCGCAGTCAATACGAATATATTCCCCGAGGAAATACATTTCTATGTTAAGGATATGGCTAGACTAGATCCCTCAAATATCGCCGATGCGGTGCTCTATGCACTAAGAACACCTCAGCATGTCCAGGTGAGTGAATTCCAATATATGTTTCTGATTCGATATTAATTAATTGATCTTTGCAGATACACGAAATAACTATTAAGCCAATGGGTGAACTCTTTTAAGCTACACTTGCAATTTGTTTTATCAAAAATATATATACGAATCAATAACATAAAATAATCAACTGCGTGCGTCCTTTATATGCTATGCTTTCTTTTTTTGCTTAAGCGCGATGGCCTTCAGGGCATTCAGTCTTTCGCGCAGCACCGGCTCATTGAGGCTGTGCATGCAAAGAAATTGTCCATTTAAAAATAGCACGGGTATGTCATAGCGAAAGAGTCGCAAATATCGCACGTTCTCTTTACGATCGATAAAGACTTTCTTCAGCTTGAATTCGCCCGCAAAGTTTTGCTCTAGTTTCTGGACTAGATCATCACAAAGCGGGCATGGTTCCTTTGTGTAAAGCGTTAGCTGCGGCAAGCTCTCCGGTAGATTCGGTGCAGGTATACTAAAAATGAAATAAATACATTCAATTACAATTGGATTTCAAAATGGAATTGGGTACATTTACATTTTCTCGAGCACCATTAGCACACATCGTCCGTCGCTGGCTTCCATGATAACGCAGCCGAGACTGCCAGCGGGCAGAGCATGAACTGTGTGGGTTAATAAGTGGCTAGCGGTTATTTGTCGGGAATCATGCGTTCGCACTTCGTTCACATTCAGCTCCACTAGCGAGCCCAGCTGCTTCTTTAGCTCCTTATTGATGACCAGTTCCCAGCTATGGACATCAGTTAGCTGTATTGGCTGACTGCCGGCCAAGCGGAAGATAGCGTGCTCGTTGTCTTGCTCCATGAAAAATTCGCGCACAACAGCCAACGGCTGCAGTTGAAGGCGCTCTGCTGTTTTGGCCGTCGTTAAGGCAACAGCAGCAGCGCCTGGACATACAGCTGATGGCGACTCCTTTTTTACTTTATCTCGAGCCTTTCTAAACAAATTGTTGGCAGTCAACAATTCGCTGTGTAGTATATCATCTTTTTCCTCGTGTTTGATGTTTGCACGCGTATCGCCTAATATGATCCAACCAGCTTCGTCCTTCTGCAAGCACTCCAGCGACATTTCCAATCCACTGACGGAGCACGCCGCGTTTCTTATGGTATGTGCCTGACAGCTTTTTAGACCCAGAGCTTTGGCGACGCTGCTCAATGAATCGTTGTTCACAATTTCGCTGGAAGTGCAAATGATTAGCTTCTTGAATTCATCCCGCGGCACTGATGTGCGTTTCACTAGTTCATCGATCACCATGCCAGCCAATTGATCTTCTTCATCGCCACATTCCAAGGAATTGGGCGTGCGCACAGCAGCCGCTATAACCACAGCGTTCTTTTGTGATTTCAGGCAATAGTTGCGCACCATATGCAACACGCTAAAATAAAACAATATTTCTTATAATTATATTTGAATGAACACGTAATCGAATTATGCACCTCCTCACGCATTGCAAGCGAAACATTGCTGGTATTTTGTTTGGCAAACAGTTGTTATTGTTTATGATGATTTAAATTTTTCGATTTCGATAACAAACAAAATCAGCTGTCATATTGAGAGATGAGCGCATTGCTTGCTGACAGCTGTTTCTAGAGATGAGCGCTTGCTCTTGACAGCTGTTTCTCTTCGCTCTGCAACAACAAAAACAAGAAAGAAAAAAAACAACAAAAAAGCTACGGAGAAAGTTATTTTCAATTTCAATAACGTTAAGTTCGAAATTACCATTAACAAACAATAAAGGTAATGTAAAAAAAACAACAAATATAAAACCAGTTATTACGTTTTAACTGCTGCAGTTATTATTGGGGAGCCCCAGCTATTGGAAGTTATAAGAAACTAGGCTACGGCTAAATATTTTCAACAATCAAATGGAACTGACCTTCAAAAAGGCACGATTGGGCACTAATGCAAACACAGCTGCTACCACTGCTGTTGGTGCTGAAGCGGGCGAAGAGAATGATGCGAATGACTTTGGCTGGTGGGCACTGCCCGAACCAGCTCTCTTGGAGATATTTATGCGTCTCAGTGTACATGATATAATGCAGGCGGGTTTAGCCTGCCGTCGCTGGAATTCCATTTCGAACGACGACTTATTGTGGCGCCACAAGTTTCAGCAACATTTCCGAGCTTCGCCCAGCATACCGCTCAAGCCCGGCGCCACCAGTTGGCGCACTGAATATCAACGTCTGAGCACAGAGATTCCCTTTGTACAGACCCAGCGTCTAGAGCCGAGCGTGGAGTTCAATCACGGTCACACGCACCAGGTCCTGCATGTAAGCTTTGCACACAATGGCGAAATGTTTGCCACCTGCTCTAAGGACGGCTATGTGATTATATGGAATGCCCAGCATCCATGCACAGGTAGGCAAAATGAAGGTCACTGACGCAAACTCTCTCACACACTCTTTCCAATATATATATATATAGAAAAGTATGCGCACAATATGAAGCAATTTAGCTGGAAGTATACCCAATACTCGCAGTTTAACCAGAGCGACACCTTGCTCTTGGTTTCGGGCGTGCATTTCGGTTCACCACAGAGCACTTCTGGCGAGATAGCTGTCTTCTATTTAGGCGCCACGGAATCTCATTTGCGCTGTCGAGTCGTAAATAGGCCATACGATATATTTGGCACTTGGTTCAGTGATCAGTATCTGCTGTCGGGTGATCTGCATTGGCTTGCCCACTTGGTCAGCACTTCGGTGCTGTGGTTGAACAAAGCCAATCAGGAGATCGACTCGGAGCATGTGCCAATCATGAGTCAGCTGTATAAGTTCTACAATCGCAATGCCAGCTCGGTGCGCGCCATTATGGTGGCCAGATGTCCATGGCTGGATGACACGAACGATCCGCTGGCTCAGCCAGAGCAGGTGGCACTCACTGCTGCTACTGCTCCGGCTACTTCGTCTATTGATGAGCCCTCCACATCTGCTTCCGCCTCACTAGCCAGTGGCAATCCGTTTAGTTTGCGACGCACACGCAGTGCCACGCCCGAAGATAATTATTTGCCAGACATAAGCGAACACAGTCAAATGCGCAGATCTCGTGCTCGTCCTGGACACACTTCAGATGCTACAATTCACTATCTGGAGGAGTATAGACGAGCAGCAACTGCCAGTGGTCCAGACACTGACCATGAGGAGGAGGAGTACGAGTCGTGCTCAGAAATGCCTGATGAATACGATGAAATGGAGAACAGTGTGCCCAAGTACCTAATCTTTTCGACTGGCTCGAAAACCTTTACGCCACATCAAATTGGATTCAAGCGCATACGCAACGTATTCTTTCCCAAGAAACTGGATCCCGGGCCGACCCTCAAAGAGCGCATCGCAGCTAAGCGTGCTGCCGAACAGCAGCAACAACAGGCACCGCGCACCGATCCCGATTGGTGGGACTACGAATCCGTCATGGACCGATTCGATCAGGTAGACAAAGTAATTGATCTGCATGGACATATTATAGGCATGGCCCTCAGTCCTGATCATCGATATTTGTATGTCAATACGCGACCCTGGCCGAAAAACTATAATATAACGAATCCGCTAGAGCCGCCACCAATCGCCCAGGAGATTGATATACATGTAATCGATTTGATGACCCTCAAGCGTGTAGGCAATATGTTGCGTGCGCACAAAGCTTATACGCCCAGTACAGAATGCTTTTTTATATTCCTCGATGTATGCGAGGAATATGTGGCCAGTGGTGCTGAGGATCAGCATGCCTATCTATGGGATCGCTATTACGGAATCAGCTTGGCCAAGTTTAAACACACAGATGTGGTCAACAGTGTTGCATTCAATCCGAAAGACTCTCAGATGTTGGTCACCACCAGCGACGATTACACCATTAAGGTAAATATGAAAAATCTCCAATCACATTTAATGATTTATTTCGTAAATTAGGTTTGGCGTTCGCGTGCCCAGGCTAAGGCACATAATATCCCTGTTAATGTCAGCGAATCGTTTCTGCTGAAGCCCAAAAACTGAGCCAACTGTTCTGTTCCTTTGTGTACCTGTGCTGTCCCAGTTGTGAGCCATCAACAAAATTTCGTTCATATGCATATTATCTATTATATAAACTGCTCATTTTGGTGTTAGCTTTTAATGATAGAATATGCATATGCAGATTGTTTCGTGGTTGTTAAAATGTTAAATGTACTTAATTGAATTATTGTTGTGGATTTGTTGCTGCCAAGTTTTTGGTTTCGTGGTCTACAAGGAAGGCTTCACTGTCGTCTCGAAATCTGACACTGGTGCGGAAATCTCTTCAGTGATAGGCTTTGTTGATGTATCCGGCTTTGGTTCCATTTGCGCCTCAGCAGATGTCGATGGCTGATCTGAGCGTCCAATAACAGCGCTTGATTCATCAGTAGGTGGTTTCCTATTTTTCTTGCGCTTCTCGGGATGACCAAAACAATGTTCACATTCATCATCATCATCCGACGAGCTTTCGCCAAAAGCCAAGGGCTTACGATATATGCAACAGCCTGTTTATATAGAGTGCATAAACTATTATATAAAGTATGCCCGAGTCGTGTGTCTTACTTACATTTGGATTTCATCCGATTCATATGCTCGTTGTCGATGACACCATCGTGGAAGACTACCCGGCGTTCATCTCTCGGATGCTCAAGACGCAACAGCAATGTGGGTGCACTTTGGGCAGCCTCCGCTTGTTGTGTAGCGCTATCGGTTTCTTCTAAAGTTTCTGTTTTGGTACCATCAGTATTATTATTACTGATTGGTACTTGAGCCATTTTTGCAAAATAAACAAAGAAAATAGTGGGGATCAGCTGCAGACGAACAACCCTTTAGGTGCATTAATCGATAATTTTTACTCTTAAGTGGCCGCTCGACGATGTGGCAACGCTGCGGCCAAATGTCAAGTTGTCAGCTGTCAGTCGTGTCGTAGCGAAAATGGCTGCAATTGTGCGATATAATTTGTTAACAAAACCACAATTTGGTAAATACACAACGTTGTAGACTTAGACTGTGGTGTAAATATTTAGTTGGGTAACCCGTTAAGTTGGCAGGCATGCTAGTTAAATCGAAGCCAGCTTGCATATTATAAAATTTGAGTGCCAAACAAATTATGTAATTTCTGCGCACAACAAAACAAAAAAAATGCGTATTGCTCAGCTACTATTGATTTATGTCAATTGCATTATTTTGCAGTGGCTGCGCTGCCGGGCGCAGTACAGTTGCGCTTGCAGAGCACTCAAGCACCACCACCAGGCACTCCGCCCCCACAAACAAAAACCAAATTCGGCCCTTTGGCAGATGAGGATCGCATCTTCACGAATCTTTATGGTCGCCATGATTGGAGGTTGAAGGGTGCACAGAAGCGCGGCGATTGGTACAAGACCAAGGAGATTGTATTGAAGGGTCCTGACTGGATTATCAATGAGATCAAGACCTCCGGATTGAGAGGACGTGGTGGAGCTGGTTTTCCCAGTGGCATGAAATGGTCATTTATGAATAAGCCCGGTGATGGACGCCCCAAATATCTAGTTGTAAATGCTGATGAGGGTGAGTGGCCAGATATATTGACAGGAATTGTTGGAACGAAACTCAAATACATTTTTCGTCTGCAGGTGAACCAGGCACTTGCAAGGATCGCGAGATTATGCGCCACGATCCACACAAGCTGGTCGAGGGTTGTCTAATTGCTGGTCGTGCTATGGGTGCACAAGCCGCGTACATTTACATACGAGGCGAGTTCTACAACGAGGCTTCTAACATGCAGCTGGCCATAGCCGAGGCCTATCAGGCTGGTTTGATTGGCAAGAATGCTTGCGGCAGTGGTTATAACTTTGATGTATTCATGCATCGCGGCGCCGGCGCTTACATATGCGGCGAGGAGACAGCGCTGATTGAATCGCTTGAGGGTAAGCAGGGCAAGCCACGATTGAAGCCGCCATTCCCCGCTGATGTGGGTCTCTTTGGTTGCCCCACCACGGTGACCAATGTCGAGACTGTAGCAGTGGCACCCACCATTTGTCGTCGCGGTGGCAATTGGTTTGCTAGCTTTGGGCGTACTCGTAATTCGGGAACCAAGCTCTTCAATATCTCTGGCCATGTGAACCGGCCATGCACCGTTGAGGAGGAGATGTCCATACCACTTAAGGAGCTAATCGAGCGGCACTGCGGCGGAGTCATTGGTGGTTGGGATAACCTACTGGGCGTTATACCTGGAGGCTCATCGACGCCCATTATACCACGTAAGGTGTGCGATGATGTGATCATGGATTTCGATGGCTTGATTGCGGCGCAGACATCACTGGGCACAGCGGCCATCATTGTGATGGACAAGTCGACGGATGTAATTAAGGCGATTGCGCGCTTGATTTCGTTTTATAAGCACGAGAGTTGTGGCCAGTGCACTCCCTGTCGTGAGGGCATTGGCTGGATGAACAAGATTATGACACGGTGAGACCTTGAAAGTAATAATCAATCAAGTATATATTATAATTGGTATTTGGTTTGTAGCTTTGTCAAAGGCGATGCCCAGCCCTCTGAGATAGACATGCTATGGGAGATATCCAAACAGATTGAGGGACACACGATTTGTGCATTGGGCGATGGCGCCGCTTGGCCCGTGCAAGGACTCATTCGTCACTTTAGGCCAGAAATTGAGAAGCGAATGCAACAGTACGCGCAGCAGTCAAAGCGCGCCACAAATTAAATTATGTTATAGCTAATTAAATATACTTCATTTAATTTGCAAATAAACTGTAAAGTTCTCTTTATCCAATATTTCATAATGTGTATATGCTTGATGATGATCACCATACTCAATCTTGGAAGAACATATTCAGCTTGAGTCAATTCACATATCTTCTCTAATATATCAATTACAGAATATATCAATTAAAGAAACCATTTTATTTTTCATTTTGTTGGCCCCTTTTCAAAGGGAAATTCCTACATATTCTTTCCTCCAATTATCCTTAATATTTTCTCCAAGTATATCCTCGAAGTTTTGACTCAAAGAATTTCAGCTAGGTATTTTTGTTTTTTTTTTCCAAGTATTTCCTTCTCACATCACTTCACTTGACCTTCACCAGTCGTGCGCGACTAAAGAAATGCTGCAGCTGCTGCCCTTTATATAGGGCGACTCTCACTCGAACCCCGTTGTTACGCTCAAATGTTTAGCACGGTGGGACGTTGGAATTGAGCTTTAAGTGACCAAT